GATCAGGGGGGGCAGATCGCCGCGCTATGCAACGCTCAGCCCAAGCGCCTCCTTATTGAGTTCTGTTGTTCGACGACCTCACGGTTGGGCGAATCAAGAGACTCTTCAAAGGGATGTCGTGTCATTCGGGTAACTGAAACCGAAGACGGGTGCTCTGATACATGCAGGCAGTGGTTAGTCCATGAAATTGCCGAATTTAGGAGCAGGAATCCTAAGGGTGCAATAATGTTCTACGTTTCATTGCCTTGCACTGGAGGATGCCCGTGGGGTTATGTCAACCAGCAAACTCCCAAAGGTGCTGCCAAGATTGAGGGTCACATCAAGCAATTCCGATCACTGCTGAGAGGGTTCAAACGCATTCTCAATGATGTCTATTCTGATGACGTTAGAGTTGCCTTCGAACTTCCCAAGGCGTGTCGTTATTGGAAATGGCCCGAACTATGGAGTTTCTTGACTAAGTACAAGATGAACAAGTACGAATTCCATGGTTGCAAAATCGGCATTAAAGGGAGAAATGGAAAACCTATGAAAAAGCAGTGGGTCGTTGCCAGTAATATGCCCACTATTTCCGTTGTTGAGTACTTCAAGTGTGATGGTTCTCACGAGCATGATGAAAGCCGTGGTACGCATTTGAAGGAAGCCGAGGGATACACGTATGTTTACACCGATGCCGTTCACAATGCATTTTCTGAACATGCCACCATGCAGCCGTTGCTTTCGAGTGATTGTGCTGCATCTTCTTCGCAATGAGCAGCGCGACGGCTATGGCGCATCCCGCGAGGGATTGCGATCCGGCATGGAGGAGATGGATGGAGAATGTCGCTACCACTTCGGTATGCACGAACGGCAAATACGACGCTAACCTCGCCGCCACGGTCAAGGGCCTCCTCGAGACGACCTCTGCACAGTCGCTTATTCATACATGGGTGCAGGACCAACCGCACTACCTGCAATTGCTTACACCCCTGTTAACCATAAGCGAACCGTACTTGAAAGTTTTGCAGGCCCCACGTGTACCAGACCGCGACCTCCTTATCTATGTGACTGTCGCTGATTCAGGACTGTCCATGGTTTCGGGCAAGAAGCGCAAGCTTCGCAAGTACGACTTTGCGGAGCGTTTGGATGCCTCTCGCCCGGCGCGTGTCGGTGCATGGAGGTCTGAAATGCTTTGGGGCAAGGGCTTACAACAGCTGTGCAAGCGGTTGGCCGCCCTCATCGACGAGGTGCGTACCGACTACCCAGCAGCCACCATCATTCCGATGATTTACTGGAATGGCAACGAGCTCGTTGGGAAGGACGGCCTCGAGCCCACTGGTACATATCCTTACGACACCCCCATCGGAGACGCCGAGCAACTTCTCGCTGACACCAGACGGCACCTGGCTTGGACCAGGGATTTCGCGGCCCGCAAGGGCTGCGCATGCCTTGGAGTCATGACCGGCGCGAAGAGCTACCTCTACGGCTTCTCTATGATTTGGGACCGTTTCATGACGGAAGTCCGGGATTACATTATCGGCGACCCCAACAATATGTTTGTATATGTTGATGCTACACCCTTCGTCGAGACCATCGATTTGCTGGACAGGTATCATATGTGCTTCAGCGACGACAATATCACGAAGACCGTCCAGTTTATGCGCGGAACCCATCATATGTTGTACATGCTTTCCATCTTGCGCCCCGCAATGGGCAGCGTAGCCGAGCTGACACGTTCGCATGATTGCACAATGCGTCCGATCGATGTGCTCGAGGTGCGCCACCAAGAGGATTGCACAGTCAACGTTGAGGTTCTCGCGTACTGCAAGGAAACGCTAACGAAGTGCGGCGTTTCATTGTCAGAGATGATCGGGCTCCCTTTCACCCGTGAAGAAGTGGAGTTCCGGCAGCCCCTCGATTTTGCCCCTGTCGATCCAGCCGAATTTGCAACTTCAGGTGAGCCTTCCGGTGCTGATGTTTCCGAAAGTGTTCGCCCGGCGCAAGCCGGTGCAAAGGCGGCTGCGGTGGCACAGAGGGACGAGGCGACGAGCAGGCCGGTACCACTCGACTCCTACGGGAGGAACGTGACTGGGGGCCACTACGATTGCTGGGTTTATAGCATCCATGACGGCGTGAAGTATGTTGACTATGGTGAGGGCCCCAAGCGACTTGAGATCATCAAGCAGCCTTCTTTTGATTACGACCCTTCCGTCAGGAGAATCAGCAATGAGTACCACAGCTCCCTGACGTGCATCTCGAAGATCCTCCGTGGTCGAGGGACAGAAGGATGTGGGTACGTGATGGATGAGGACGGCTACATGGACCTTGAAGATTTGGGACTCGCGCTTCGCAAGGAGCTGCGACATCCCATTCCATGGAATATTCAAAGCATCATGGACATCTTCAAGCTCGACAAAAAGCAGAGGTTCATTGCGCTTGGTTGCCCGGACGCAAGCCGGTGCGGAGACGTCCCCTGTTCTCATTGGATTTTCAAGATCAAGGCCTCCCAAGGCCATGAGGACTGGCTCCAAATTGACGACTCCGGCATCGCGAAGGAGTGGTACGTGAACCCGGGGACGGACCTCGGGCGCTGGTCTGGCTGGAACGTCTGCAGCAACCCTCCTACGGTGCTCTATCATCGCACCGATAAGCGGAACTTCGCCAACATTATGCGAAACGGACTGCTTCCAGGAGGAGGTGACCAGCACGAGACAGGCAGACCTCACGTTTTCTTCGCTGACATTCCGAGCACGAACGAAAATTACATCTCAGGTGTACGCGCTAACAAGCCCTTGGAAATACAGATCGACCTCAGGATGGCCATTCGCGCAGGGCTTTGCTTTTTCAAGACAGAGAGCGATGGCGTCCTCACGCGCGACAAGGTGCCCAACTACACGATTATTTCTGTATTGGACGCTACAAATGGCGATGTATGGTACACTCGCTCCGAGCAATCGGATGCAGGTGCACCAGCTGAGGCGACTGAGGATGAACCCCAGGGGATGAAGCGCGACCAAGCCGTGGTTGATGATCGGTCCACAGCACTGGAGCGCATTGCTACAACCCGCACCAATGTGGCGTCTCCTCGCGCCCCGCAAGGGGAAGCGAAGAGACAGAAGACTTTCAATCCAATGGAGAACGTTGAGCTGAATGTCGCCACGTGCCCGGTTTGCAACAACAGTGTGTTCGAGGGGCAGGTCCACTGCACATCATGTGGGCAGTTGTCACCCCTCAATCCTCGCCTGTTGAAAGAGCAGCAAAAGAATTACCTTGTGCAGCGTTCCAATTTGCTGAAGAAGATGGGCCTCAGCACCCATGTCACAGCCCAGGTTTTGGCATCCGTGGGAACTTTTGACCTCCGCGAGGAGGATCGGAGTAGCATCCTTCGTGGCCTGAACTCCCCGGACAGTGCTGTCATTCAGGAGGCCCGGAAGAAGCACAAGTCCGCCCTGAAGAACGGCTACCACTCTCTACTTGATCGCTATGAACTCGACCTTCAATACAGGGTTCGTATGCTTGAAGTGGGCCGTCGGGATGCGGATATACTCCGCATGGAGTTGTGTGCAAACCTCGTCTTGGCTGCTCCAAAGCAGTCGCAAGCCCAGCGCACTCTTGGAGTTGGCCTTGGATCAACTTCTGAGTCGCGAATCGCAAGGCTCGCGTACATAAAGACGGAGGTGGAGTTTTTGCCCAGCGAATTGCAGGATGCACTCAGTTCCCGTTGGATCATCATGTTTCAGGGAATGCCATACAGTCCACGGGCTTTTGTGAATGTTGTCTCCGAGCAGGACAAGCCTCGCAGCATTGGATGTTGGAATGGCATCATCCATTTGCGAAGCAATTCCCTCGAGGACCTCCGCCACGAAATGGACTGGATATTCAGCCAGAACGAGCGATATGCCCGAAACTCAGTTGAGTTTTCAAAGAACGAGAGCACCAAGCACCTCGCTCGCAATGCCGCTCGCTATGCCGATCAAAGTGCTCCCGCCGCCCGCGAGGGTGAGCATTGGAGCCAAGGCAGCTGGCAGAACTGGTCCGGTTGGGGAGGATGGAATGACAGCAGCGGTTACCAATCTACTTGGCAGTGGCGCTAAAAGCGCAACTGTCATGGTTTGCATGTATACAACGGTCCCCATGACCTTCTCCCTCTGTTGTGTTTCTGTTTGGCTGCTTTGTGAAAGGCCCCTTTAACACGCAGAGGGGGGTGAAGAATTTGATCGGTCAGTTTGGGGTTTTACATCCGTTGCATCCGCAGTGTGGCTGTTCAAGCGTGAAAATGTGCGAGCAGCGCACTTGGACGGTTTGTTGTTTCCTTTTGGGCCCCAAACC